TAATAATTTCGTTATTTCGTACTATTAAAAGCTATATATGCTTGGTTAAATTAAATAAATTCGTTTAATTTTTTTACTTATCACATCCCAAGTCAATTTACGTCGTCCCCTAACATTTCCTTTTACGGTGATCCTATCACATTCTTCTCTACCATTTTATCTGCTACTCTACGTTGTACATACCAAACCATCTTAGTTTGTTCTCTCTGAACATATTTTCAATTGGTGCTACTCCTACCATTTAATGTATATTCATTTCTATTTCTCTCTGTCCAAAACTTACCAAACACCCACCTAAGCATCATCATCTTAACTACACTCATTTCATGAGTTTGTTGTTTCTTAATTGTCCAATATTATGTGAACTGCAAAGTATCACTGGTCTTACAATTGTTTTATAAATTAACAACGTCAATTTTGTTAGCATCATTGATCACATAATATGCCAAAGGCACTCCACTTGAACCGACTTTGATTCTATTACAGGTGGGAATTTGTAACACAACATGAATCGTACACGAAATTAGGGGTTAGGGTTGAACATTTTCAACACAAACACAAATATGACACTATATAATAACATGATAAATAAATAGGGTATGTCAAACCTGCATAATATGAAATTGACACAGATAACCCATTTAATAGATAATTAGTTACAAATTTTAATATTATTTTCATTAAAGGATGCCAGAAATGTTTAAATCTCTTATGTAACCTACACAATTAAATAAAGAAAATGTGTAAAATAGTATTTTCAGGTTAATATAGTCATTTTGTCTTTTATTTGAGAGAACATGATCTTTTCATTTATTATTTTGAAGTCAATAAAAATATTTTTTTTGAATAAAATAGAGTCAAAATTAAATATTTTTTTTTAATAATTTCATTCAGTAGAGATTAGTTTCATGAAATTTAACTTAGGAAAAAACGTTAATCTTTCCATACAGTTAGTATTTTTAATTGAAATTCATCTTTGTCATTTTTTTGAAAGATAAAATTGACTTTAACCCTCTTTGCTTTACTCCATGTGTGATTTACCTCTGATAATTGAAAATATGAACATAACCCCCTTATGACCTAGCACATGTTTCACACTTGATGTTAACTTGGATTGAACGTCTAGCGGTATACTTCATTTAGTCCACAAACCACAAGAACATTATAGTTGTTTCCAAATTATATGGGTAGTTTACACATGCACATTGAAGTGGCATTTGCCCTTTATTAAATATGCACAATGTCTTGAATTGAATAAATACACATAGAGGGTAAAATAGTATAGTGAAATAAATCAGGTGACAAATACCATTTCTCATATAATATAATAGATGGCAGATTCAAGTATACAACCCCACATTCATATTATCAAGTGAAATACTGAATAAAGGTGTACATATATGTAGTACTATTATAAAGAGAAGTCTTGTCTGGGTGTTTATGTCTCATATTTTGGGTATTCTATTAGATAATTAGATAATTTTCTCAGTTTTGTAAGATAATTTCGCAAACTGAGAAATTGTTAGTTTTGTATAACTAAAAAAATAATATTTTATTTTTATTAAATTTTATATTCAATATTGGTCATGTTTGATAAATCTCATTGTGTAGACTCAAAAAATATATATTTTATTAAAAATAATTGTGTATAATAAAAATTATGAAATTTGTAAGTTTTGAAAAAAAATAAAAGTAAAATTCCACATCAACAATACTATTTGAATAAGAGAAAATATCTAGTACTTTTGAGGCATTGTTAGGTGATTTTCAAAATATTTATGATTGATGGGGAGGGTGGGGCCTACAATTTTGTATTAGGGCATAAGGTATAATGCTTAGTGATTAGTGGATAACATTCTCATGTGGTGCACTTGTAACACCTAATAATTTTCTACTAACACTCAAGGAATTGACACAATTCCTTCTTCTTTTAATAAAGGTAAAACAGTTTTACATAAATAAATATTTTGAAAATAAGATTTTATGGGTTAACAAAATAGAAAGAGAACTTAATGGAACATGATCATTACCAATAGGACGTTTAAGTAATTAACCCAAATATTAGCACTTCTTCCTTAAATTTTAAGAAAGACAAAAAGAAAATTTGATATTGAACATTAAATTTAAAAACAAAAAATTAATAGAGCAGCGATATATACTGACAAAATTTGTATAAATTTTTTGATGCGGATCTTTCCCCTAAAAAAAATGTAGATGATTTTCATTTGTAATAAAAAGCAAATTGAATTCCTAGTCGTGCAGTTTGCTTCTTGTCTTAAATCAATTTGATTCTTGAAGCTCTAATGGCATCAACTTTTATCCTTTAATTTTACACAATGTATGAATTAAGTGCAACGGATAATATCTATTAAGAGATTAGACCAAAATCAAAGGCAAAATAATTCATTCAAAAAGGAATATATCACTCACACTAATCCCTTAATTACTTTGAGAATAATAAATTGACTATTTTAGTCTTGATTTTAATCCAATTTCTAAACACTAATAAAGGTGAAATACTGAATAAAATTGACTTTAAGAGAACATGATTTTTTTTTTTAAATTGACTTTATGAGAACATGATTTTTTTTTTTTTCAAAACTCTCAAATTTTGAATTTTTCAGATTCATTTCAATTTTCGGATTTTGAATTCAATCATACAGTTTACAGTCTTATTTTCTGAAACAAAATGATCGTATATATGTAAGCATGTGGACCTCGAATTGAAATTGCCAGTCCACCTTAATTCTCAATTCATGAATTTCATAATATGAATTTCAATTCTCAATTCTCAATTATATGAATTTCATAATATGACATTAACAATTCTCAATTATATGAATTTCAATTCGCATAATTTTATTCTTAATTAAAAAAAATTCATTTTATTTACAAGCAAAAAATAAAATTTCCAATTCAACAAATATAGGTTGGTTTATTCACAATTCAAAATTCCAAACCCTAATTTTAAAAAATATACAATAATTTCAACAAATTGAAAATCCTAAGTTAACCACAAGAATAATTTCAACAAATTGAAAACCCTAATTTCAACAAATTGAAAACCCTACTTCCAAACCCTAATTTCAACAAATTGAAAACCCTAATTCCAAACCCTAATTTGGAATTTCTGCAAACCCTACTTCCAAACCCTAATTTCAACAAATTGAAAACCCTACTTCCAAACCCTAATTTCAACAAATTGAAAACCCTACTTCCAAACCACCGTATTGAAAACCCTAATTTCAAACCCTAATTTCAACAAATTGAAAACCCTAATTTCAAACCCTAATTTCAACAAATTGAAAACCCTAATTTCAAACCCTAATTTCAACAAATTGAAAACCCTAATTTCAAACCCTAATTTCAACAAATTGAAAACCCTAATTTCAAACCCTAATTTCAACAAATTGAAAACCCTAATTTCAAACCCTAATTTCAACAAATTGAAAACCCTAATTTCAAACCCTAATTTCAACAAATTGAAAACCCTAATTTCAAACCCTAATTTCAACAAATTGAAAACCCTAATTTCAAACCCTAATTTCAACAAATTGAAAACCCTAATTTCAAACCCTAATTTCAACAAATTGAAAACCCTAATTTCAAACCCTAATTTCAACAAATTGAAAACCCTAATTTCAAACCCTAATTTCAACAAATTGAAAACCCTACTTCCAAACCCTAATTTCAACAAATTGAAAACCCTAATTCCAAACCCTAATTTGGAATTTCTGCATAACACAATAATTACCGATTCAAACCCCTAATTACCAATTCAAACCCTAATTTCTGCATAACCCTAATTCCAAACCGTAATTACCAATTCAAAATCACACATTCACAATTTCTGCATAACACAATAAATACATCAGATTCAAATGAGACAGAGAGAGATAGATGCCATACCACGGAGAGAGAGTGAGCAGAGATATAGAATGAGAGCAGTGAGAGAGTCTGAGAGCAGAAGGAGAGCGAGAGCGAGAGCGAGAGTGAGAATCTGAGAGCAGAGGGAGAGCTCGAGCAAGCAGAGGGGAAAGCGAGAGCGAGAGTCTAAGAGGGAGGAGAAAAAAACATAAGTGTAAAAACGTGATTGCAAATGAGGGCGCTTGGGGTTTTATATAAATTGTAAAAGCGTGGTTTCAATCCACGCTTTCATTAATCAACAGTGAAAGCATGATTATGAATCACGTTTTCTTAAGAAAATGAATATGCATAGTGAAAGCGTGTTCAAAAAACAAATTAAACGACATGCACAGTGAAAACGTGTTCTTCAGAAAAAAAATTTATGTTAAAAGCGTGGTTTGTAATCACGCTTTCTTAATTAAAAGCGTGCTTTCTAATAGCGCTTTCACTATTCATCAAATTTTCGACTCCAAACAGTGAAAGCGTAATTTGTAATAACGTTTTATCTTAATTTAAAAATTTCATCCAAACTAAATCTAATTTAAGAATTAAAATAATAAATAATATGAAAAAAAGCCTCAATCATCTAAGCCATCGTCTAACTTATAAAATTTAAACAATTCGAACGAGTGGAAATAGACAGATAGTTTTGTCAAAAAAAAGCTACAACAATGATTCATCCCACTAAAAACAACACCACTAATAGCACTAATGCATTAAAAAAGTAAAAAAAAAAAATACAACTCAAAGACCAAAACATCACATCATTAATGGCGGGACCCACTGCCACCTAATTAGTGGGAGCACTAATTAGTGCTCCCAAGCATTTTTCAAAAAGCTAAGGAACCAAACTGGGAGCGTGAAGATGAGATAAAAACAAAAGAGCATTGATTGGCACCCCCAGTACGGGGCACCCCAGCACCCCCACCTCCACGTGGGGGGCTGTGGACCAAGGGAGAGTAAAAAAAAAAAAAATAAAAAAAATTCAGCCAATCACATGTTGCCACATCACTGGGGGTCACTGGGGATCCTTCAAAATTGGGGTTCCAAAGCATTTTTGAAAACAAAAAAAACAAAAAAAATACAAAAAAAAAAGAAAAGAAAAGAGGTATACAAGGAAGGGGGAGGGTTTGAGCCCTGCCTGGCTATTTCTTATACGGGAGCGCATTTGATGGCCGTAAGGCCTCTGCAAATAATCGTCTTCAACCCCAAAAGCCTCTTCTATTCCTCTTTCCTCGCCTCATCTTCTCTCCATTCCAATCTCTCTCATCCAACCTTCACTTCTCCATCCACTTTTCTCCGCCGCCTCGCTTCGGTGCCCCCGCTATCCCTCTCACAACCACCCCACCAACAAAAGCAAAAACCAAAACAAAAACACGAACACAAACACAAACGCAAACAACCGCCGCCGCCACCGCCCTCTCACCGCCGCCTCCGGCCGTCGATCTCGATGTCGGGAACCCTAGCGCAGAAGATTGGGAAATCCATCCGCCGCTCAGGCGCCCCCTCCAAGGCTAGGGTTTACGCCGACGTCAATGTGATCCGACCCAAGGAGTACTGGGATTACGAGTCCCTCACCGTCCAATGGGGGTAATAACCCATTTCACTCACATTATTTGGTTTTTGTTGTTTATTTAATGGGTTGTTTGGTGTGTATTGATGATTGGGGTGATGTAGGGAGCAAGATGACTATGAGGTTGTGAGGAAAGTTGGGAGAGGGAAATACAGTGAGGTTTTCCAGGGCATTCACTGCACCAATAACGATAAATGTATTATTAAGATTCTTAAACCCGTCAAGAAGAAGAAGGTTGGTTCCCCCATTTTATTTCCATAATGCGTGTATCAAGTTCCATAATTTTTAAGACCTTTGCTTAATCTTCATATTCATTTACAGCACATGTGAAGTGTCAAGTCATTATTGAAAACTCAATTGGGCATATGTGGAACAGTGGAAGAAGCTAACCATGAAAAATCTAATTTTTTTTTAATTAATGATTTTAGAGGGTTTTATCACGCCCATTGGTTTATTTCATTTTTTTGTTTTAATTGTTGTTTTAGCATTTTGTTTCTTTATACTGTGTTTGGTTGGGGAAGGAGGGATTTGGAAAGAGTAATGGAAAAGATAGGTGAATTAGTCTCTTACAAGTGAACTCCAGGCTTCATCGTTGTCCAGTGCCAGAGGGGCAAGGAAGTTTGTGACCTGATGACTGACTGTGGATATCTCCTTGGAGCATCTGTAGTGGGAGTGTTAATACTCCCATTAGTCTCAGGTGCTAAAGCATATATCCAACAAGCTCAATTAATGCTGCATAGTGGATTTGATAGCAGGCTTGCTAGTGGTGTCAACAATGCTGCTAACTGCAGCCAGCATGCTAGCACACAGGGAGGGAGAGAGTTAGAGAGAGAGAAGGCGTGCGGCAGGGACAGAGAGGCGTTGACTGAGTGGGAGATTACAAGTGCCATAGGACCCATATTCTTAAAAATTCAACATATTTTGTTTATTTTCCTCTATAATTTATTGATATTGTTATTTAGGTTCTTCCCTTTGTTGTTTTAGTTGTTCTTATGAAGTTGTATTTATGTATTCATTTGGTTGTATTTTGCTTTATCTTATATTTTGTGAAGACTTATTTTCAAGTTTTCTGGTAAATGCAGATCAAGAGGGAGATTAAAATTCTGCAGAACCTTTGTGGCGGGCCAAACATTATCAAATTACTTGATATTGTCAGAGATCAGCAATCAAAGACCCCAAGTCTAGTATTTGAATATGTGAATAATACAGATTTTAAAGTGCTCTATCCCACACTTTCTGACTTTGATATTCGGTATTACATCTATGAACTTCTAAAGGCAAGCTTCTCGTGCTCTTTGTTTCTTTGGTGATGAGATGTTGGTTATTATTTATGCTGCAACTGCACTTCCTTATTTGCTGCTTATTGTTTCACCTTTCTTCATATGTCTTTTGGGAATCAAGAGACTAAAGACTCTTGTAAGGAATTCATGGATCAGCATGTTAAGGTCCTTTTTTTTTTCAATGATTTTCCTCCCTTTTTCTTTTCTTTTCTTTTCTTTTCTTTCTTTCTTTCTTTCTTTCTTTCTTCTTCTTCTTATTATTTTATTTTATTTTATTCTTTCTTTCTTTCTTTCTTTCTTTCTTTCTTCTTCTTATTATTTTATTTATTTATTTATTTTTTTTTTGGGGGGGGGGATGTTTCAGTGATATTCTAAATTCTCCCATTTCAAATGTAAATGTGGAAAAATTCACAATATCTTATAGGATATTGCAGAAGAGCTTTTTCGTCTTTTTGTTGTCCAATTTAATCCACACATATCTGAGCATTAGAAAAATGATTAAGAATAAAAAACTTGAGGAGTTTAAATCGTCTTTCTCAGTCTACTGTATGACTATTATTCTAGTTAATAACATTTCCATTTTGGGAGTCTTCGTAGAAGTCGCTTCCTGAAATGGAATATATACAAAGAGATTTTATTTGGTTAGGAGTGGCGGAAGGGAAACTTAAAAAGATCATTTGGCTCATGGGGTAGTGGTGCTTTAGTTTGAAGTGAGTTGGTCCAAACAAAGTTTTGTGGTTTGAGTAATAGAACCATGAGTGGCCATTGGTTGTGTGAATTTCCTGTGGAGGCATGCAGTTCTCAAGAGAACTTAATGTTTGTACAATGGCCCCATTTGGTAGAGCTGTGGGAAAGTGATTATAGCTTATAGCCTAACAGCTTATAGCTTATAACTTAACAGCTTATAGTTTATAACTGTGAACATAAGCTAATTTTTGACTTATAAATTAAGCATCTCCTCCTCCACTCAACAAATAAGTTGATTTTTGACTTACAAAAAGTTATAAGCTGTATTATTAAGCTGAACCAAACACATCAAAATAGCTTAAATTAAGCTGAAATGAGCTGGAAATAAGCCCTACCAAACAGGGCCAATGTATACTTTTGATTTTCCAAGGCATAGAAGCATGGAGACCCAACATGACATGGAATAGACACGACACGGTACTGTCAAGTTGAGTTATTGTAGAATATTGGCTTTGGGGGCAAGTCCTTGCCTATTTGACCATGTGGTGGCTTCAAGATTTACATCATGAAATTGTCATTAAATCCTGGATTCACAATTCATATCTTGATTTTGGCAACTTTGATGGTTGTATCGGTCCTAATTTTTATTTGTAAATATGTATCTCAATTATTGTTTTATATGTGTATTTTGAGGTGTAGTCTTCAAGTTTGCGTATCTTTATGTGTAGGCATTAGACTACTGCCACTCTCAAGGAATTATGCATCGAGATGTGAAGCCCCATAATGTGATGATTGATCACGAGCAGCATAAGCTTCGTCTTATAGATTGGGGTCTTGCAGAGTTCTATCACCCTGGGACAGAGTACAATGTTCGTGTTGCTTCGAGGTTTGTTTTTCTGTCCATGCCTTAGTGTAACTGTGTGATTAGTCAGTTTGCCTGCTATATTTTTCTTTTTTTCCTTTTTATGAAATTATTCCCAGACGTGATTTATTTTGTTTTTCTATTGGTTGCCTATTGAATATTTGGGTTCTTGAGGCTTACATGGTTGTAGCTTTCCTTATCATCAGACTCTTATGACTTGGGAGGGTGAAGTGAATATTTGACATGCTTCTACCCCACAACGTATTATGTGTTAGAGGACTTCCTTTTAAATAATTGTAGAATCATGGATTTTTGTTTTTTTGTTAAATTGAATAATGTCAGTCCATTTACCCTGATTGGGGAATGATTTCTATTTTTAATTACTGTTTATGTAGATTTGAAATGTGGGAAGAATGACACATTTGTTACCAACTAAAAAAGAAAAAGAAAAAAGAAACTTGCCATATTTGTTATATTCAGGTTGTTTGACTAGTTGGACTTAGACAAAGTAGTTTAGAAAAATTGTTGCACTGGTTTATAAACTTGAGGAACATTTCATGGGTCTACTTTGTGAATATCTTACGGATGCAATTGTTCCTGTTTGTTATTGAGCATCGCATGACATCCTTAATAATTTGGGGAAGACTTACTCAATGGAAAATGTAGCATTCATCTAAGTACTATTTGGCATAGTTGTGGAATGTGGCAAATGATATGGGTAATATTTGCAATATGTTGGGCATGTCTATGAATATGTTGGGTGCGGTTAGATCTTTTAAAGTAAAGTTGGTTTCTTGCATAAATTGAGCTTATTAAGAATGACTTTTGAATATTTGAAAATGAACATAACTGAAATAGAGTTGTGGGTATGTATATATGGCACAAGAAGGAATAGGTATTCATGGGAGTTTCAGGTGGCGTCGCGTTAAGAATAAGTGTGAGATTTTACTGACATGGTTTTGTTACCAGCAACAAGAATGAATGCTTTCATCAGTAAGTGGTATGCTATGATATGGTTTGGTTGACATATCTTTTGTAGTGATGTGGTTCTGGTTGATATATATATATATATATTTGTAGTAGTAGTAGTGGGAAGGGCTTGTAAAAGGATATATGATGGCTGATTATACAATAAGCAATTTGATCCATGGTCAAGTGGAATGGCAAGTAGGATTGGTATAGCTTTTTCCCAGATGATTGGGCTTTGGTTTTGTAAGTTGAGCATTTTGTTAATGGTGAAGGTCCTCTGTCCGGAACTGAGGGTTTATGTCCGGTGGAAGAGTTGAACAAAATTTGAGCCATCTGTTATAACTTATAAATGTCTTCATGCGATGTGTTTCTTTTTGGATTTGTTTGCCGCATGTCAAAAGCATGCATAATTTATTGAGCTGACGTAGTTTGCTTCTCTTTGCCTTATATGTTGCAGATACTTTAAAGGTCCTGAGCTTCTTGTTGATTTGCAAGACTATGATTACTCTTTAGACTTGTGGAGCCTTGGTTGTATGTTTGCTGGAATGGTGAGCTTCTCACACTCCCACTATTTACTTTGATTGGTAGGCAGATCTTCATTCATTCAGAGGTGGTTTTTTCGCAGTTTGTATAGTATCTTTCCAGACTTTCCACCCATCCACTTTTAGTTGTGGTGTGTGTGCAAGTGGTCTGGACATATCATTTGATGGGCCTCCTCCTTGTCGGCCTCAGCCCAAAAATACTCTGATCAGACATGATCTAACCATTAGATAATGGATTTCCTTTGTGTAAACCCGACCTGGAGAGATTTGTGTTAAGAAATTAGTATCTTAAATTTATGAGGTAGATCTTCCTGGTCATTCACTCGTGCTATGGATGAGTGGAATTTGATCTGCTTGTATATCATCCATGGGGTGGCAGATGGCGAGGAGGTTCAATAGTTGATACCTCACCATTGTATGTGAAGGTGTTTCTTCAATGTGTTGCTTACTGTGAAGGCTTGTGCTGTACAGATATTCCGTAAGGAGCCATTCTTCTATGGGCATGATAATCATGATCAACTGGTCAAAATTGCTAAGGTACATGAATCTTATTTGTTTTATTTTGCGTCTTTCAAGAATCTGAACGAGGAAACAAAAATACCTTATACCCATTTTCATCTTTTGCATCCATAGGTACTTGGGACAGATGAATTAAATGCTTATCTCAACAAGTACCTATTAGAGTTAGACCCACATCTTGCGGCCCTTGTGGGGAGGTTGGTGCTTGGTCTCATACTCGAGTTCATGTATTCTTTTGCTATCACAAACTAGGTTTCAACTAACAGGAGATCTTTTTTTCATTTGTTGTTATAGGCATAGCAGGAAACCATGGATCAAATTCATTAACACTGATAATCAACATTTGGCTCTTCCAGAGGTAGAATCTCGTGTAACCAAAATCCAAGCCCTTTTGGCTAATGTGTTGTAATACATGTACATACTCTTCTGTAGGCAATGGACTTCCTTGACAAGTTGTTGCGATATGACCATCAAGAAAGGCCAACTGCAAAAGAAGCAATGGTAAGAAACCCTTGCTGCATGCTTGCACCACGACACATCTGACTTTGTGCACCACTAATGGACACTTTATATAATTCAGTATGAAATTTAAAAAAAAAATGAAATCATATTGCAAAATTGACACTCTTCTCAATGCTACTGGCGCTTATTGATTAAATAGTGTGAATCATATGAGCTGGACTGCATTTTAGCCAATTATGTTATGTAACAGTCCTTTGTTCATGCAGGCCCATCCTTACTTTTACCCGATTAGAAATGCTGAAAGCAGCAGAACTCATGCCTAGTGATTGAGCCCTTCAAAGAATGGTGTCGTCATCTTGTCTTGGTCAGATCGTCTTGTGTAATTTGACTTTCTGCACTGTGCTAGTTAAGCACGGATTTGTTTAGAATGTGTTTGTGCTTTTTGTCATGAACTTTCAGTTTTGTTTTGATCATACTTCGAGTTCCGACTTTTGTATCGGTCAATTATTGTGTCCAATCTTTGTGTGCTCCAACAAGTGAGAATCATGTTCTTAGAGTTGATTTGAGAAGATTGCATCATCCCTCTGATTTTTCTTTGGCCCTGGCTTTTTTTGATGTGAGCATTTCTTGTCACATTCTTTTGTTTGTTTGTTTGGAAATGATTTTAGAAAACATAATGGAGATAGGTTTCTCAGAAATGTTGCAATATCACTCTGTACACAAAATTAATATATAGAGTTCTTGGTCTGCTGGATGCAAAAACAGGCACAAGCATTACTTACAAACAACTGTTCGGTCAGATACAGCCTTCATTAAAATATGGAGATGCTTCTATGATTTGAATTTTGTGTGTTGTAAATTTAATTATGGCATGTTTTGAATGGAATAATTAGGTTGATTTTTTTTTTTTTTCCTTCTAGATAATTTGATGGAATATGAGCCACTCAGGTTTGGACACGAGGTCAGGAATAAAGTCAGCCCATGAAAAATTATCGAAGGTTTGTTGAAAATGGCCTTAATTGGCTTCCATATATTTTGTTTCATGATATGCTCCCACTGTGCTAGCCATTGTTGGTGCTGAGCTAAGAAGCTCAGGCGCTTTTTTTCTGGTAATCCTCACCTACCTGACCTTGTTGCCTAGAGCGTCGTTGGCTCACCTTTCCAAGCCTCAAGGGTTTGGGATTGCGGTGAATGTGATGGTAGGTCCTGAGTGCTTGGGTTTTCTTGATTAATGCCAAGATTATTGATGAGTTTAAATTAGTTTTAAATAGACGTAATTGAAAAAATTCATAATTTTGTAAAATGCTAACATACGTGGGGTTTTATTTAATATTACAATTTGTGTAAAAAGTACGTTAAAAGTGATGTAAAGTTGGAAATATATTTGAATTTGATGAAATGTATTTTGAAATTAATAAAATTTATAATGATTTATATATATGTATTATTTTTATTGTATACCATGAGAGACTTGTTAGCAAATTTATTCAGCTTGTTTGGTTCTAATTTTTAGAAAATTTTATTTTTTTTATTTTCTATATTTTAATGTTTTCAATGATTTTTTGGTAATATTTTAAATAATTTTTTAAATTTTTAAACACATCTAATATAAATATATTTAAAAAGTATAATATTTGTGAAAAAAATCTTTAAAAAATACACTAAATATAAAAAAAATACAAAACAAAATAAAATTTTAATATATTTTTCGTATTTTTGTGTATTTATTAATTTTTTAAAATATTTTACAATTTAACTACATTTAAGTAAAGTGTATCTAAAAAAGTAAAAAAATTACTTGAAATTTTAAAATATTCACTAAAAATAAAAATAAAAAACGCAAAAATAAAAGACTTAATTTTAAAAAAATGAATTTACGAAATTGAGTATTATTTTTAAAGTAAGCATTTGGATATTTCATAATATATTAGAATCACTAGAATTCATAAAACAGAGTGGTAATGGGCCCTTCTCCATCACCGCAGGCCAGGCCCTGAGGGTTGGCCGAAGAGGCTTGCGCCTTGGGCCCAGATTTGGACTGAAAATAGGATTTCAAAATATGATTTTGTGTTTTAGATATAAAAAAAAAAATTCAAAACACTATAAGCCTAATTGTACATGGAGCCTAAAAAAAAGAAAATATATCCTGATAGATTAGAGGCCCAACTGACATGGGCCCAAAAATAAGAAACACATTATAGTTTATAATACCCACCCTGAGGCTAAGAACGTAGGTCACTAAAAGAAAAGACATATGGAAAGAAAAATCTCTCTCTCTCGTATTGGACTGATCTCTCTCTCGCGTTGGACTGATGAAACCTTCAGTCCTTTACTCTCCTCCATATTTGAGGGACGCTGAGTATTAACAATTTTGGGCATCAAAACCGTGAATCTCTCTCTATATATATATATCACATTTAAATGGAGGAAGTTTTTACCCTAATTTTTTTCCTAATTTCTTGCCCTAATTTTCCTCTAATTTTCCTCCTAATTTCCTGCCCTATAAAATTTGTTCTTTAAATTAGAAAATTACCTAATTTATGTGCTTTAGTGGAAGTCTATAATTTTTGTTATGCTCTAATTCTGAAAGTACATTATTTGCAGAGATTAGTGATTGTGAATTTGTGTGGATTTGTGATTATATAGAGTAGTTATGCCTCCTAGAAAATATATTTCTAGATGTAGAAAAAGGAAAAAGAAGCAAAAATTAAAAAAAATTATTCAATCTCAATCGAGAGCGCTTGATAAATTTTTTGGTAACAAGAAACAAATAGAAAGTTCGGCCTTGTTTGGTTTGTTTTTCAGAAAAATTTTGAAAAAAAATTCTCTATAAATAAATTTTAAAGAGTAATCAAACCAAACAAATTTTTTCAAAAAAAATCTCAAAATTTTGTTTGGTTACCTACTTTTCAAAATCACTCTCTCTCTCATACACATCAAATCAATTACTTTTTTAAAACTCTCTCCTCAAAACAATTTTTCAAAATCATTTTTAAAAAAAGACAAACCAAACAAGTTTTTGTACTTTTTATCTCAAAAACTACTCTGCAAACACAAATCAAACACACCGTTCATGTTTGGTTGATGAAGATTTGGTAATGGAAGAACTTAATCAATGTAATGAGGATGATAATGAAGATTTGAGTGTTGAAGAGCTTATTAAATGTTTAAATGAGAATGAAAATGAAGATTTAGCTACAAATAAATAAAAAAATTGTTATAACTTATAATTTTATCCATTAATTTTTATTTTTTTTTCAAGGTAAGAAACGCCTCTCGTCTTGGGCCCTTAAATCTCAGAGCCGGCCCTGCGTCACCGTCAAAGTCATCGAAGAAGCCGCCGGACGATGATGACGTCGGTTCGCCGGAAAACCATTTCCAGCTGAGGAAGCCAGGGAGCGGTGGCCGGAGCGTTACCAATCCAAGGTCTCTCTCAACACGAAATCTACGAACCTCTCGTTTTTTTTTATTATTTTTAAATCCAATATATTTCGATTTTGATTTGTATTTGGTGCTTTCTTTTTTGGTTTATGATATAGAAGAGAAAGGTCAAGCTTGGCGCTTCATCTAGCGAATCGAACGAGTGAGTGTTGCATTTTTGTGTGAGAAGATTTTAACATAACGTGCGTATTTGACTAGCGTTGTTGTTGTTGTGCCTATAATTGTTGCCATTTTCATTTGATTTGTAGTGTCGAATCCAATGAAAAGGAGGTTATGCAAGCGAGGTGCCACTACACTCGAGCTGTTGTCGATGGCTGCGTTTTCAATCTCTATGATGACGCTTTTATCAAAGTGAGCTCTCTCTCTCTCTCTCTCTCTCTCTCTCTCTCTCATAAATCTATAGAATGCTAATAATTTGTCAGGGCTATGTGAAATCACTCTTTTGATACCTGGGTATCTATTTTTAAGTTTGCATTTATATTTTTTCATGTTTATGTGAAGCTTAATGCTTTATAAAACCATTACCGTCCTTATTATCAATTTTGCACACTTCCTTTGCTTCAATATTTAGTAAACTTGACTGAACGATTTTTTATTTGAAGAAATAACACTGTGCTGTTTGTTCACTGTCTTTGTTTTCCAAAAATCATTTTCTTTGTTTTCCCAAAAAAAAAAAAAAAACAGCTTTTGCTTGGGTGCTTTTGGTATGGTTTTTGCTTTCTATGTTCTGTTCTCAAAAACTTAAAAAAGAAAACTTATTTGATAAAATGATTTTAAGGAAAACTTTTTGAAAACACACATTTTTTAGGAAGAGCTTTTTAGTTGTTTGCAAAAATTTTGAAAATTTGTTATGCACACTAGTTAACAACAACAATATTTCCATGCACTATATTTCTTATGTCGTGGCTGATGGCTAAATGGGTAGTGAATCTAGTGATTGTTCATTGTGCGGAAGGAAAATTATGAAGTTGTTAACTATTTGTGACATTACTCGGACTATGATTTTTTGACAAAGGTCCTTAATTGGAATGCGGTTTCCATTATGTTGCTCCTATCTAAACTGTGCAATATATATTGATGATGTGGAGAGTGAGAGCTAGGAAATGGGTAACTCAAGCCATTCCAAAAATGAGTTTTTTTGAGATGCTTAGTTCATTAGTTTGGTTAATTTGAAATTGAAATCTGAACAAAGAGCAGGGTCTTAGCATTCCAAAAATGAGTTTTTTTTGAGATGCTTAGTTCTTTAGCATCTTTCTTAACTTGCAGCCTGTTAACTAACAAACTGGTTACCTGAATGTGTTGGTTGCGTTGATAATGAAATAATGAATTTTATAGTTGGCTATGGATTCCTTATAAATGAAAAACCGGAAGCTATAAGTTGCTATTCTAGAAATAAATGCCACTTCTCCTATTCTTGTACTTTTATTAGGCTGAAGAGGGAAAACCTGACTTCATAGCCAAGATTGTGGAGCTGTTTGAAACCGTTGACAGAGAACTATATTTTACTGCTCAGTGGTTCTTTAGGGCTGAAGACACGGTGAGATAATTTATTACTTCAACCACCTGTTTTAAGTGTTTTACTTTGGTAAATATTTCGTTCACTAATCTTCATGAATTTGGTTGTTTCCAGATAATTAAACACAAATCTGATCTCATTGACAAAATACGAGTGTTTTACTCCGACATAAAAGATGACAATCCATTGACTTCCATTGTGTCAAAAGTAAAAATTGTTCAACTTGCAGCAGAAGTATGAGCATCAGGTACTTTTGGCTACTGTTTTATATATATATATATATATATATTTTTTTTTTCTGTCCTTGTTTGCGTGTGGTTTTTAACTCTCTTCCAATTTATTGCTTTCCATTCCAAGTTTCTTAAACTATATACTCCATGCAACAGGTGGGTTTGGCTGAAAAAGAGAAAATACTATCATCTTCAGATTTGTATTGTGATATGGCATATTCATTGCCACACTTTTCGTTTACAACTCTAGAGACAGCCACAGGTTAGTGTGTTTCCCCAGGGACTACGATCATTATTTTTTTCCTGCATAAAAACCAAGAAATAACCCATTTAGTTTGAGAATGAGCTTTCCAGGTTAAGCAACAGTATTGTATTATCACAATAGTTTCTAATAGATGTTTGCATCTGT